CACATACCAAATTTGTGTCTTTCACTAGAATGAGCCCGGCGTTACATGAAAAAGTCAATTATGTAAATATGGACCACCCTAGTATTCATAAATATGTAAAAAAGCGACATTAAGGGCATTAAGTGTCAAGTCTGCACATCTAAATCTGCATAAATTCGTATGAATTGTCATTTGCACATGTGTATATTATATATGTATATGTATTCATGTATGTGTGTGCATATTACTATAGTTAAATATTCAATGGCAATGGCATAAGCGCTGCCGCCGACATAAATAAACAACCATTCCATTGAATTATCATGCATTCATACATATTCATTTACCTGTTTGCATAAATACATATGAATATGTGTATTTATACAAATATTTAGTTTATTGAAGATCACGGCATTTAAAGCAACACAGAAATGGAAGATGAGAAGTTATTAAATGGGTTTATATGAATATGAAACTTAAACGCAACCCATTTTCGTTGACAACCAAGTGAGTCATAATTTAATGTCACGCGCCATTTAATTGACAAAAGAGATTCCCATTTTTGTTTACACTTTTTACAGCAAGCCACTTGTGGTAGCAATAAAAATTTATTACAATTTTATTAATACTTAGCTGTGCTGTTATACGAGGTGTGTTCAAAAAATCAAGAATATTCTCAAATTTCACCAGTCTGAAGAGTCCAAATGTCAAGCAGTTTTTATTATACTACTAAGGTATGAGAGAAATTTCAGTTTAATTTATTTTTGACTTTGACTGCTGGCATGTTCTCATCCCAAAATTTTTCTTAAAAACCCCGACTTGGAAAAGTAAATAATTATCTACTACCGGCATCTGAAATTACCTGAAATTGTTAAAAAAAAAAAGTTGTATAGTAAAATTGATTCCAATTTATTACCTCTATTCACCACTTTTTTATGCGGGGTAGAAATATATATTTGTCCCAACCAGAAGTACTACTGGGAAATTTTAGTCCCACACAGAAGTACTACTGGGACATTTTAGTTCTGTACAGGGCAATTGAAAAAAAAACAGAAATTAATTTGTTTATACGATAGGTACAATTGATTTCATCACAAAAAAAATCTGCAGGCATCCACATCTTATCGAAAGGGTTAAGTTAGACGTGTTTTCATGAGCTCGATAAAATCCGTTAAAAACATGGTTAAAAAAGTTTGTAAAATTTTACATAAAAAATGAATTAAGTGTAAGAAAGTATGTGAAATCTTAACAAACGCCTATGGTGAGTTTGCTATGAGTACAGCAAGAGCTTCCGATTACTATTTCCACGAAGGCCGTTACAGAACGTTACAGATGTCGAAATCATCATTTCTGGTTTGAAACGTGTAGCCGCAAAATTATTTACAAATTTGTAGAATTTCGAATAAAAAAACAACGGCAACTGGAAGCTACATAAAAATCGTTAAATTAAGTCAACGAAGATTAGCTTTTGCATATGCCGTCGAATGTAGCAGATACCATTTAGCTTGAAGGTTATGCCGATTGTGTCCTACGATTTTAATAGCTTTGTGCATCACGAATTCCTCGCAACAGATCAATGAAGAGTGCTATCTACTACTTCACAACAGTTCATTACTTGGAGTGGAGTTCTTCTTCTCTTCCCCTTCTTTCATCGGCGGGTACTTCGGGCGGGTAATCGAAAAAAGAGTATTTTTATTCATCTAGACCACGTGACCTGGCTTGCGTAACCGCTGTCTTTTGCTTCGCTGAACTATATCAACGTCGCCGTATAACTCGTTCCATTGGCTGCGGTATTCGCCGTTGCCAACGCGCAAAGGACCACAAATTTACGCAAAACGTTTATCACGAAAACTCCTAACGCCGACTCTTCAGCTGTTGTCATCGTCCATGTCTGCGCACCATAAAGTAGGATGGGTATGATGAGCGACTTGTAGAGTGTGGTTTTCGTTCGTCGAGAGAGGACATTTCTTTTCAATTGCCTACTCAGTCCAAAGTGGCACCTGTTAGCAAGAGCGTTGGATTTTAAGGCTGACATTATTGTTGGTGTTGATGATGGTTCCTAGATAGACGAAATTATCTGCGACTCCAAAGTATTGACTATCAACAGTGACGTGGGAGCCGAGTCGCGACGATTGTTTGTTTGATGACAGGAGAGATTTCTTCCTCGTTCACTACCAGACACATATCCTTCGCTTGCTTATGCAGTCTGGGGAAAACAGAACTCACGAGGCGGTTGTTGAGGTCAATAATATTGGCGTACGCCAGCAGCTGTACACTCTTTTAGAGCATTATAAATTCTCTATTCAGCTCTGCGGCTTATTATTTTATCCGGCAATAAGTTAACAAAGTCATACGATGAGAAGTCAACTTGTCTGAAACCTCGTTAGGTATCGAACGGTTCGGAGGGGTCCTTCCCTATCCTGACGGAGCTTTTAGTGTTGATTAACGTCAGTTTACATTGCCACACTGCTAATATCCAGCCAAGGACAAATATTCCCTCCACAAATTCAGTATACTATGGTCATCAGTCACTAAATCACCTCTCTGGGTCCTACAAGCTACTACTCCGGCTTTGAGATTTTCTTTTCTTAGAATTGTCGAGCATTAATCTTGTGGACCAGCTTCTAAAGCTCTTCATGCCCACGCAACTCGGCCTCTTTCTTTTGCGGTCTGCTCGTGCGTCCTGCTTTCCTCTTCAATTCTCGGTATCTAAACAACCCCACGCGTGTAGCGGTCGATCGCAAGGTTGTGATCTCTTCACTGCGGCACGTAGGTCATCTGTACACCCCTCTTTGCTTGTTAGTGAACCTTTGGATAAAGAAATTATACTGAAACAGTGTCCCAATCACAATATTCACCAGACGTGGGGCCGTGTGACTTTCACATATTTGCAAAAAATAAAGAGAACCTTAAAGGGAGGTCGTGTTACGGCTGTAGATGGCATAAAAAACGCATCACAGATAGAACTGAAGGATATCTCAAAGTTCATTTTTGAGGAGTGCTTCGGATATTCCAGAAAGCTCTGGTAAAATCTCTAATGGAGTCCATTTTAAAGACCTCGACATGAATGTATATGAATAAGAAAATATATTTGTAAAATTCCACCGAGCACCTCCTCCCAAGGAAGCTGGTCGAACTTGGCAATGCTACCACTCGGTTATTGCGGTCACCGTATTTGGTGTCCACTGTTCAAAAGACATAAATTCTCGGTAATTTTCGAGCACACCTTGTATTTATGTCAACAGATCATTTGTTTTAAATCTGATCTCAGTAATGTAAGTTATTCTCTTTTGAGATATGAAAGTCTGATCAGTCTCTCTCATATGCATATGATGAGAAGCCTCTAAATAATCAAACGATTTTTAGTAAAATGTTCCAATGATTTGATATGCCGCGGCACTCAATTTTTTTTCTGCAGCCTTTAGAACGAAATCAAATATCTGCTGTCAACAGTCACAAGCTCGAAGTTCTATACAATTTTATCTACTAGAGAAATAGAAGCCAACGTCAAATAACTCCTTTCTCGATGAATAATGACCAAGTTCCTCATCATTGGGGTTCAACATTAAAGTGCAGAGGAGAATGGAGGGAGAATGAGAATAACATAGAAGAAGGCAAAGGCTTATAACAATAAACAAGAAAGGCATGCGGATGCCGAAGACAATGGAACCGTACGAATTATGCGCCAATATTTATATAGCTCAGCGAATCAAGGTTTTAGTCTTGCGTTAGTCTGAGTTTGGAAAAAATGGCTTCATTTACGAAAATATATTCGGAATACTCTGTAAAAATTTAGAATGAAATTCGAAATGAATTGACGAAGTTATAGCCCCCATACGAGAGCGTCTCATAGTAATACGCGATCCGATCCGGCAAGATGCGCTGCAAATCTATTGTTGAAACTTTAAACGCGTTTTTCTCGAACCAACGTTCTTACGGCCGGTCTGGATGATAAAAGATGTCGTACTCTTTCTATCGCTATCTTTCCATTCTACAGCCCGTTTTCTAGTTAAAAGAATTCACTTTTTAATTGAAGAGAAAAAGGTGCAAGCGACCGGCCTAATATTTTTATTCACCTAAAACCACAAAACGTCGTACACCCAGTTAAAAAGAAGAAGATAGCCTCGGAAAAACACCGACGAGTCACAGCCGATGATTGAGCAAACTCATTCAAATACAAATATACAAAAGAAAACTTAATCAATAGGATTATCCAGTTTCAAAAAAAAAAAAAGAGTTGTAGATCTTTCATTGATCCATAACGGTATAAATAATATGTGCCACCTGCGCAACTGAGACCGACTTGCTGTTTCGTTACCCGTTTCCGCCTACAGTAATAAAGAGACAAGATGATGGACGTGTTGGCCTCTTTCACCGCAATCAACAGACCAGTCCACATATTTTGTGTCATGAATTGACAACTCTCAACTTCATCTCTGAATAATAATGATGATCTTGCGTGACTGCCGTGTTGTTGGTCAAACTTATCTGCATACATATGTATGTATTAATTGATGTACATATGTATGTACGTGTATATATGCATGCACATAAATACATTTGATTACGTTGTTTCCAATTTTTCTGGCATGTTTTTGGTAACAACGGTTATTATTTCGATGTAAGACAAAAATATTAATAATAACCGTGATTTCTTTGTTGTTGTTGTTTTTTTTTTTTTTTGCTGTTTTGTATTGCTCATTACAAGTGTTGGTCTTGTCTCTTTACGGCCAATAATTTCTTCACTATTTTTCACTTCAAATTTCTTCCTACTTCATTTCTTCGGCAGCCGTGCTCATCAAAAAAAAATTGTTTACTTATTCATACCTTCACCACGCTTCATTTTGCTCAAACAAATGCACTTCATCTACGGTGGCAAACCTGTTTCTTCAAATTAAAAAATATATAAAAATCGCTGAGCCACCATAACGAAGAAGTTCATATTAGATTTATCATCATTGGTCAGAGTTGAATTGTAATTTTAGCGCCAGCAACATTTGTGTGCGGACAACGAAAGTGAAACCATCGCAAATTGCTGAGCGCTAGTTTAGAACGAGATCGACCTAAAGCAAGCTTAATTCAAGCAACATGCGCACCTCCACATTGGTAATACGTTTTTTCATTATTACCTCAGCTAAACCAAACTTAAGATAACACATTTTTAGCTCGCAACATTATTTCTCAGCCTGGCGACATACGACTGTCGAGGATACAGCTATCCACCACCACATATACCTCTACATCAGAACAGCGGAGTACGTCCAATATACGGACCTCCGGCGCCGCCAGCAGGCAATACTGTGCCGTGTACTGACCATACGTCGCCTGAAGCAAGCCTGCAGGTACCAGTCGTAACCGCAGTAGTTCGCTCACTGGGTCCACCCGGCAGAAATTATGAAGTGAAACTCTCCCCATCAAATCAACACAACTTGGGTCAGGGCGTAATATCACCACATGCAGCCAGGCTGGCAGGGACAGATATTAATGCAGCCGGTAACTTCCACTATGTGAATCCCGCAACAAAACACTTGCCACCGCAAGCACAGCTGCAGCCACATTATCAAACGTTCACCGGCGGATCTCCTCAGCAATATGGTAACGGCGCAACTGCTGCTCGACCGGCTTACACGACGCATTATAATCCATTACTAGTGTCACAACATTCTCAACAAAGTCTACACTCTTCTTTTACACCACCAGCTCCACAAGCATTCCCGAATCACGGCAATCACCCACAGCCACAACATTTTTCTGGCGCTACACAAAACAATGCATACCCCCTGGCAGGCGGTACATCCAACTCGCAGCTTGCTTTCCAACAGTCACAAAACGCTGCCAGTTCGGCTACCGACGGTTCTACGCCAGGCGTGCCGGGCGTGCCGGGCAATTATATTTCACAATCCGAAGTCGGTCAACTTGATCATTATTTCGAAAAACAAAACCCGCTAGGCGATACACGCTCTTACTCACGTATCATCAACACTTGTTATCCCGATGGCCATTGCGAACAAAAGCAATTGGGCGCAGGGCAAGTGGATCAAGGACACCAACATGTTGTACTCACGGCGCGCGCGCGTGTGCAACCGATATCCGATAAGTGTCACGCCTTAGCAGGTCAGAACTCTGGAGCAGGCCAAGGCTCCGGTGCTGGTCAAGGCGCTGTGTCCACAGCGAATGCTGGCTCTGTGAGTGTGGGTAGCTCTTTGGTGAATTCCCAGCAACGTCCGCCAAATCGACGGCTTTATCCGTATGGCGAGGTAGTGTTACCGCGCGATCCATTCAATTGAATGCCCAAAGAATATGCAAATTAAGCTTAAAAGTTATTTAGATACGTACATATTATATATCGGTGTCATTATGCATTCAAGAGTGTAGATTATTAATGAATTTCGATTCGCTTTTATTTAAGTTTAAATTTAGCGATTAGTGTCAAGTTTAGTATGTAAATCAATGATATTCCAAATAGTGAATAAATTATATAAAACTTAATGAAGAATAATTTGTTTGAAGGTTAATCAAAGAGCAATTTATGTGAGTCATGAATTGACAGAGCCTAAAAGTATGCTATTTATTGTGGTCATTGGTAAACAAAGCTTCAGAAACATTGTTGCTTGCTCAACTAAAGGCTTACAACAACTGCCTTATTCCGCTGGGAAGTTAAATGTTGTACAATTAAAATTATTATATTTTAACGAAGCTGAGAGAAGTGAACGAAATGAAATGAAGAAAATTTATTGCAATATCTTAAATCGAATAATTCTAACTGCGGTAAATAAATCCATAAATTCAATGAAAAAATAATGGATTACTTTGAACTCTTTTGCGAACCGCTGAAACAGCTTTCGACCGAGCTGCTCCTCCAATTTGTAGTGTGCGTCTTGATGTTCATCGCCAAAAATCGATTTGAGCTCATCGGGAGACTGTTGCTGAGTTAAGCCAAGTAGAAAGTTGTAAAAAATAATTGGTCGGTCATGTTGCCGATTTAACACCATTTTTTTGGTTTATTTTTAGTTACTGTAAACAGCACAAAACGTTCCGAGTATGTACATATAAAATCAGAAGTGACAAACCTTACAATAAATCAGTTGCCAGATAGCGATACTAGGGTTGCCGAGCCCCGAAATATAGCAAGCAACCCTTGTAATAAAGGGTGTTTTCTAGGCATGTGGTTTTCAAGAAAAAATTAAACGCAAAGAGCTTAAAGTTAAGGCCAAGAATTTAGCTCTTTTATAAAGATAAAGGTTTGCCATTATGTTTCAAAAATGACTTCGGGAAACTGCTGTTGTGGTACTGCGCACCTTATGGAAGCTAGGATCATGTGCTGTTGGACGCAGATGGTGAGTGAAAGTTGGGAGCTACAAGGCCTCTAGTTTCTTCGCGACTTGGGAGAGGAGAGTTATCGGTCGATACGATTCTCCTTTTTTGGCTGGTTTCCCCAGCTTTAGCAGCGCACGATCTAGGTGGCCAAATGTCCGGTCCCGAAGAGGAAATAAAATGTTCACCAAACTCACCTCTCAATAAGTCCACTGTTACGCGTGCTGTGTGGCATATGGCACCGTCTTGTGCAAACCACTTGTCATTCAAGTCAAGCTCTTGCATTATGGGCCAAAAAAAGTTTGATATCATCTCACGGTAGTGCTCACCTTTCACAGTTACGTTACGATGATTCCCATCATCTTTGAAGAAGTACGATCCAATGATGCCACCAGCTCTTAAATCGCACCAAACTGTGACTTTTTCTGGATGCATTGGTAGCTCTTGCAATGCTTCTGACTGATATTCACTCCAAAATCGACAATTCTGCTCATTAAGCCAGAAATTAGCCTCGAAACCCACGCGGAAGAAGCGCGTGATGAAATTTCTTAACAGAGCACGCTAATAAAGCTCAATATTTTGCAAGCGTTGTTCGTTTGTAAGAGGATTCATGGATAAATTATAGACCAAACTGAAGATGTATGACACTGATATAAAACACGAAACGTGCTTCAGCTGCTTAAAACAGTGTTGCCAAAAAGATAATAGCAGAAAAATCACCCTATATATTACTAACTCTTTCTCTGTAAATATTTCTGTTATTCTCTTGCCTCTTGGTTGATGTTTAGAAAGAAGTTCTTCAACTAAATCTAGCGATAATCTATAAATATACGAGTATATAGTTTCCGAAACCCAGTTGCATTCAAATAGAAAGTGGATCTTCAACTTCCTGAAACAAACTTCTATCCAATAATGATAATAGCACGATACTTTCTCATCTTGGTATAAAACGTTTGCCGAAAACCTGTAGCGATTTTCGGTCGAGCTCCTCCTCCAATTTGTGGTTTTGCGTCTTGATGTTTTCCCAACGAATTGAGGGACTTACAGTTTACATTAAACCACCCCTAACGGCTGATGGTTTATTTAGGGGAAGCTTTATTTCATGTCCGAAATACACCAAGAGGTGTACTGAAAGATGATAATCCTCTAGTTGGTACTTGTGTTGTTGATAACTACAAACTCAGCTGTTTATTGACCTAGTGACTAAGAAGCAAATTTCAATTCATCCATTCTTTCGATAAGCAAAAAATCTTTTGAAAAAAACCACGCATTATCTTCGAATATTTAATAACAGTTGAAAAAAGCCTATACTGGCAACCTTGTATAGCAACGAGATATGAGCCGAGCCGGTTTTACGGAAAGAATCAATTCGCCGCTGATTTCTGCGGATCAACCGTCAGTAACGGCATGGGCAATCGGTGACAAATTTGTGTTTACATGGCGCTATGGACGGAGGGTTTGTATGTAAGATGGGTAATTGCAGCATTAGGTGTGAAGCATAAAAGTGTGAAAGCAAGGAGAAAACACTGGCGTAGAGGAATATACAAATGAGAGGAAAATTCGACAAAAAAAATTCATAAATATTCACTGAAAAATTAATTCAACTGGCAGAGGCCGATTAATCTTTTTTGTAATAAATGCAATTAATTTATTAAATGTTCTGAAAATGATACGAACTTGAAAAGAAAGAGAAAATGCGAAAACGCTAGCGCTCTTATCTAGGTATAGCGCGCGTTGCTGCGTTAGGAAACGCAACGCCAAACACCCCAATTTAGGCATGTCAGAAAATGATTTTTATGATCCGAAAATCGTTTGCAGCTCAAAATTTCATACTGCGAACTCTTTGAGATTGGCTTATACCTACAAATTGTAGACGACCGATCACTTCACTATTGTCAACTTAATTATTAACTTCTGTTTTCTTTACAAAGTTGCTTACCAACTATGACCTTAATGTATGTATGTACATATATATGTACTAATATGTGTTCATAATAACGGAGTTCATGCGTTAAAGTTCTAATGAAACTTGCATACGCATACGAGGTGTGTTCAAAAAATTATTTATTTATTAATGAATATCTATTTTGTCCCCTTCAAAGTAATCCCCATGAGATATTATACACTTGTGCCAAAGGTTTTCCCAATCTTCGAAGCACTTCAAAAAATTATTTGTTTTATCTTGATCAGCTCCTCCTTCGATTCCGTCTTTATCTCGTCAATCGTAGCGTAACGTCGTCCTTTCATGGGCCTCTTCAGTTTAGGGAACAAGAAAAAGTCACAGGGGACCAGATCTGGGGAATACGGAGGCTGCGGCATCATTAGTGTGTTGTTTTTGGCCAAAAAGTCGCGCACAAGCAACGATGTGTGAGCAGGGGCGTTTTCGTGGTGCAAAAGCCAATTTTTGTTCTTCCACAAATCCGGGTGTTTCTGGCGGATTGCTTCGCTCAAATTGCGCATAACTTGCAGGTAATATTCCTTATTGACCGTTCTACCCTGTGGCAAGAACTCATGATGCACCACGCCCCTGCAATTAATTTTTTCGTCTGTTGTTGAAGTGCTCGGGCGTCCGGCACGCTCCTCGTCGTTCAAATCTTCTCGGCCTTCTGAGAACATTTTGTACCACCGATAAACGTTGCTTTGGTCCAAGGTAGCTTCTCCGTATGCCACAGTCAACATTCGGAATGCATCCAAGCACTTAATTTCGTTTTTCACACGAAATTCGATTCAGGTTCTTTGATCCATTTTTTTGAATAGGTAAAAATCGAAGACCATGCAAAACATGTGCAAGCAAAGCAGCTGTCAACAATTAAGTGAACATTCAAAATGGCCGAGCTTCTCAGGGAAAGTGACAGACATGATTACCAACATAACGCCACAAAAAAAATCGCAATTCGGTTATACGGAACCCGCAAAATACAAAATTCGCGATACTTTTTGAACACACCTCATACTAACAATTAATGTTGTACATACATACACTTAAGTGTATTCTTTTTGGCTAATCACATATGTACATACATAAATATGTTTGCACATATCGATCACTTACTTGAATAGTGCCATAACTCAAAAAGTCGATATTTAATTTGAGTATGCAAAAATACGGCCGCGGAAGGCTCGGGTTCAAGTCCCCGTGAGACCAACAACCAAATGTTATAGAAAATTAATTGCGGTCGCCCCTCGGCAGTCAATGTCAACCCCTCCGACTGTATTTCTAACATTAAATAAAATTCTTCAGAAAAACCATCAGCCTTTCGGAGGCGACTTAGTATAAACTGTATATACCTTCATTTGTTGGAAAAACATCAAGACGCAAAACCACAAATTGGAGGAGGAGCTCGGCCGGAAATCGCTTCAGCGGTTACAAAACCCCAATTATATATATATATGTATATATATGAAAAAATTTGCGCAATGCCATTGCCCATATTATGTTAAAACTTCAGTCTGAATGCATAGAAATATATAAATAGTCGAGATGAGAATGTGACCGTTATACCACTTGTTGTGTCGCATTGTTTGTTAAGTCCAGGTTCCTCTAGAAAATTTTCGAAAAAATCGAAATTTTGTAGAAATAATATAGAATTAGTCCCGAAGGTCCGCAGGACGACGAAGACAGTATAGAAGTGGGGCGAAGCTAAGCACGCCAAGCTGCGGTAATTCCGGCCGTTTGAGTACTTTAGTCGTATTTTTCTAGAAACCACGTTTTTTTCAACTGGGTGACACTCTCATTTTATATACATGAAATAAACGGCATTTTACTACGAAAGTTTCTCTCCGTGGTCGGTACTGCAACCGAACATATTGATTATTATTTAAAAAACAAATATAAACAATAGAAAAAGGTGTAAATAAATTAAAAAGTCTGGCTTTTTTTGTATGCAAATGTTTCATTGTAGCCAATGCAATACAGAATACGGAACCGTTTTGATTTTTGCTTTCAGATGATTCATTTTGCAGTTATCGTGTCACTCACTAACGAAGCAGCAGCAATTTTAAGAGCCGCCATTTAAATACAATAAAAAAAACACCAGTAAACTCTGCCGTTCGTTACCGATTTCTCGGAAGTTTTTTCGGTGTCTTAGCATAGCCTGCATGTCTGAGCAACAGTAATTTTCTAACCTTCGTAAATTACACGAACTTGTTGAGTAGCTAGAAAGTTGAGAGGTATCTTCTTCGTAGAACCAACATTGCTATCGTCAAGAGATCAGGGTTGCGTGATCGAACAAGCTGTTTAACTAACTGTTAACTAACTAACTAACTGACCAATATCAATATATTTGGCGGTTAGTTTGAATTCAAAAGTATTTGGAAATTTAATCGACTTCAAGCGTAATTATGAGGTTTTTATAATAAATTTGCACTACTCTAAAAAATCAACAATTATTAAGACAATATCCTGTTTGCTTACAAAATTTCCTTAAAATGTCTCTTAAATTGTGATTAAACGTAGATATTGCAAATCAAGTCAGCTCCTCATCTTCTTGTATTCGATTTAAATTTTGGTTGGCGAATTTCTTCCATTTCTGATACTTTCCCACTATTTACTAAAGTTGTATTACAAAAACCATGAAAGGCATACCCTCGATGAAGTCCACTATCAGGGGTTCAAAAACATGTGATTTTTGAATATTTGTACATTTAAAAAATATACGAAAATTTCCCTCATATTTTTTATTTAAAATGGTAGATTTTTTTAGAGAAGAGGAAGCACGAAAAAGCCGAAACACCATTAATGTCAGATAGCTATGAAGCGAAGAGAGAATGAAACTCTCTTTAAATTATTGTGTCATGGAGTGTAGTATGTTTGCTTTTAAGAAAGAATACACGGTGTGTCTAAAATATAACCGAACTTTTTGGATATAAAATGAAATACATATTATATTATTTTTGAAAGTTATTATTTCTTCAAAATAGGTTCCATTTGAATCAACCCAACGTTTGGAACGATCAACTAGCGCATGCATAGATTTTTTTATGACATTTATAGAAATGTTCTTCAGTACCTCGGTTACGGCTGCTTGAATGGCTGGGATCTCATCATAAAATGCTCCCTTCGTATTGTTTTTCAGTTTTGAAAATAAAAAATAGTCACATCGTGATAGATCAGGCGAATACGGAGGATGGTCGATGAGCGAAATCTCTTTTTTCATTAAAAATTCGAGCGATTTTTTGCTCGTCATTTAATTCATGTGGAACAAATCGCGCACAGACCTTTCTTTTCCCCAAATCTTCAGTTAAAATTCTCCAAATCGTATTTTTACTCGTATTCAATTCCTCAGCCAACATTCTCGTGGTAATATTTGCATCGATACCAAAGATTTCATGGACTTTTTCCAGTTCAGCACGATTACTAGTTTCTGGACGTCCTGCTGTAGGGTCGTCATTTAAGTCCTCACGACCATTTTTAAATCATGTAAACCACGTATAAACTTGCGACGACTCATACAATCATCACAATAAACTTTTTTCAAGAATTTTTTTTTTTCAAGTTTGACACAAAATTTTATATTTGCTCTTTGTTCCATTTTATTTTTGAACCATTAGCACACTTCTGGTTTTATTGAAATGGCTGTCATTTTTACATCTGTCATCCGACTTACATGATGTTAGGTGCGTTTGAAAGAGGATGAATGTATCTTTTAATGGCGCTGTATGTTGTATGATTTAAATATAAAGTTCGATTAATTTTAGGACACACCGTGTACATACGTGTATATTTTTATAGCGCCTTTACAGAAGACTTCAATATCTCATTTTTTGTACCACGATTTATACGAACAACGCAAGGCCTACACAAATATGACTGAACAGAAATTGAAATAGAAATCCACACATGAAAACCACTTGGATTGAATTAGAAACATGCGTTTCAGGGTTTATCAAAATTTATGCGAAAACTCATCAAGATGAAATAATATTTTTTCCCCACAATTGTGCTGGACAGCAGAAAAATAACTTCATGGTTGCTATGTATTTAAACGCCGTTCGATATTTGACTATAAAATCCATCATCTGCGAGCACCTTATCAGAGGCCATATCCAAAACGAAGTTGATTCAGCGCATGCCATAATAAAGCGAGCAAATAAACGAATGCTCAAAAGTTCTTCAACTTAGACCACTGAATCATTCATTACAATAATTATATCAACAAAAAAAAAAATAAATATATAGAGGGCATCCATTTCATGTGAAAGAAATGTCCTATGAAAGCTTCTATGACATTAAAATATTTATTAATGATTTTTGTCCTCTCAATATGGGTCTAATTAAGCAGCTAAAATTCCAAAAGCTCAAAAAGAATCACCCACTTTTTTCCTTTTAAACATCTTACGCTCAAGAACAATTCCGAGAAACAAATATAATCAATTCCAAAAATAAGTAAAACACAATAATTGACTTAGGAAAAGCTTATAAAGGGTGACTTTATAAGAGCTATAGGAGTTTTTCAAAAAAAAAAAAACACACAAATAACAGAAATATGCTTAAAATCTTTATTTATAATTTAATGCTTGAAAATTATTTTATGCAAATGTTGCCCGTGACTGCGCCTCAAATGGTCCATCCGCTTAGTCCAATTTAGGCATACTCTTTCCAACATTTCGGTCGGTATCTCACGAATAAATGCTTCAATGTTGTTCTCAATGTTGTTGTTGTAGACATTAGATCTAACATAGCTTCTCAAAAAATAGTCTAAAGGCATTAAATCGTACGTTCTAGGCGACCTCCGAACGGCGAATGGTTTTTTTACGCGGAGCCTTTATTTCTTATCAGAAATACACTCGTAGGGCTTGACATCCCCTACCGAGGGTCGACCGTAATTAGAAAATTTAGCTTAATTTTTTTTTTATATTAATTTTCTATAACTTTTATTTTTTTTCTCAGCAATAACGACACAGTTAGGTTATGGCAACAAAAGTATTTCGTACTTTTCATAAATAACGTCACAATTCCAAGTGAAAGACTTTTACTTCCAAGAAAAAGCTTTACTAAAAGGAAATCCATTATTTTTGCATGAAATCGAAGGCTTTAATGATTACTTTTCGTATTCCGCGTTATTCGAATGGTTCCAAAACGGTTTTTTGTGCAATCTTTAGCTCTTGGGCAATCGAACAGTGCTTCCGGGACGATCGGGCTCGACAATGTTCCTGATCTCGACATTTTCGTCAATTTGGCCTTCCACTCCATGTGGCATTTTTTACATCAAAATTATCGGAAGGAACTAGAAATTGTACATGATTCACTTTAAGAGTATCAGAACCACTATCAGGCTATTCACATTTTCAACGGTCTGGCTGGCGTTTTCGCCCTTGCCGAAGTAAAACTGTAAAATAAAGCGAAATTACTCTTTGCTAGGTCTACCATTGTGGTACATTCAAACAGTACTGAATCAAACCAATCACAAAAATGTCAATAAAGCTTTTTTAGTGCGATATGTCATCCCTCTCAGGCCATTTAGCGGTACTCGATCGGAGTTATACAGATAATTAACGTCATATATTGGAAAAATAATAATATATTACATGCCACTAGTTTATTCGATAAACTGGTATTTTTCTATATTTGCTTAATAAGAAAACTTTAAGCCACTCTTAACTTTAAACCAAAAATCGACCTTTTAGAGATATGACGCTTTTCATGTAAATGAGCGCTATGTATACATACATATTACATACGTTTTGTTTTCCGACAAAAATGTTCTAAAAAGTCCATTGGTCATTAACTATAATATTAGTTAGTATTTAGAGTGAGTGGTGAGCAGGTCGATAAACCGCAAAAATCAATATGAATATGAAATTCGCATTTTGTGTTGTAAGTAGACATTTGGTTAATAATAATACCAAAGCATTTATGCCTACGTAAATCATTTTTTTTTTATCATTAGATCTTTTGTGCCGTCCTCATCAAAGCAGAAGCGGCAAGTGTTGCGAAACATACCAACAAAGCCACTCACACGACATTCGAAGAGGTGAATCATAGCTCATCTGTAGTTGGTTATAATTATCAGCGACCGACAGTGCCATTCAGTTATCCGAAACATGAAAACACACCAACAAAATTCAATACACTTGAGGTAGAAACTAATTTAAATTTAAATAATCCATTAGAAGACTCCAAAACATACATCAATGTTACGAAACGACTAGTCGGGAAAACATCCCACGACGCTTATCCTGTATGCTGTTTTAACATCGAGAAAGACCTGAAGACCGTTGTAGCGCTGCGTAATCAGCGGCGACCGGCTGAGCGTCGTTTAATACCTTATACTGAGATCTTGACCTACGCGTAGTGAAATCAGTGAATCAAATATGAATACGTGTATTAAATAGAAACTCTTTATTATTAAGCTTATTACTCAGCTCGTTCTAAAATGACTAAGTAAAGAAATTATTAAAATTATTTATATATATTTACAAATTTAGATTTTTTCAGTTTAATCATCAACTAATTGAATTGTGGTGCATTTGCGTAAATTTTTGGCTTAAAGTATGCTGGAGATGTGACTCACAGCTTCTTGTTAGTTAAAGTATAGACATGACTACAACGAAAAGATGATAGTAATTCTAAGTATTTTATTATAAACAAAGCATAGATGAGTTAACTGATATACCAAATAGGGATAACCTACCAGCTGAGCTCTATAAACATGGCGGTGAAGAGCTAACAAGATGCAAGTATCATCCTCTTTTCCAGATATGATTGGATGATTGGAACCTAAGTGTATTCAACCCAATCCACAAAAGGGTGACCCCACAGTCTGCTCCAAATACCGTGGGATAAACCTCCTAATATCGCATATAAGGTGCTATCAAGCGTATTGTGTGAAAGACTACAGCCCAACATCAACTAACTGATTGTGCCGGCTTAGACCTGGTAAATCTACCACTGACCACATGATCGGCACACACCACCTTCTTGTCGATTCTAAAGCAACCTTCGATAGCACGAAAAAGAGCTACCTCTACGCTACTATATGAATTCGAAATCCCCGCAAAACTTATACGGTTGTGTGCACTGACCTTAAGCAGCACTAAAAACACAGTGAAGATCGAGAAGAACCTCTCCGAGCCGTTCGACACCAAACGAGGTTTCAGACAGGGTGATTCTTTATCGTGTGATTTCTTTAATTTGCTGCTGGAGAAAATAAAACGTGGTGTAGAAGTGAATAGATTAAGTATAATCTTCTACAAGTGTGTAGAGCTACTGGCGTACGCCGATTACACTGACATCACTGACCTCCATAACCGCGCCATGTGCTACTTGCAAGAGCTACCAATGCATCCAGAAAAAGTCACAGTTTGGTGCGGTTTATGTGATGGCGGCAACATTGGATCGTACTTCTTCAAAGATGATGGGAATCATCGTAACGTAACACTGTGAATGGTGAGCGCTACCTTGAGATGATATCAAATTTTTTTTGGCCAAAATGCGAAAGAGCTTGACTTGAATGACAAGTGGTTTGAACAAGACGGTGCCACATGCCACACAGCACGTGTAACAATGGACTTGTTGAGAGGTGAGTTCGGGGAATTTTTAATTTTATGCTCGGGACCGGTCAATTGGCCGTCTAGATCGTGCGATTTAACACCTTTAGACTATTTTTGTGGGGCTATGTTAAATCTAATGTCTATGCATTGGAGGACAACATTGAAGCATTTATTCGCGAGATACTGGCCGAAATGTTGGAAAGAGTACGCCAAAATTGGACTAAGTGGATGTGCCATTTGAGGCGCAGTCACGGTCAAATTTTGCATGAAATAATCTTCAAACAATAAATTATATGGACCGAACTATCGATTCCAGTAAAGATTTGATGCACTTTTTCTGAATTATATATTTTTTTTTAAACTTTCCTTCTTTTTATAGCTCTTAAAAAATCACCCTTTATTAAACTCGGCAACTGCACTGCTTTATAGTAACCTGTATGCATATTTACATATGTACGAATATGTGTAGATGCTTCCCCCACAAACAACGTGACTACTCCATACACGCGTGAAATACATATATACTCCAAGCGGATATAAGACTAATTCAAAACTAATCTCAATCCATACAAAAAATGAGGTTCAGGTGACATTACGATGTCCTATAGTCGCAACTTAAACTCCATCTCTGCATTCGATTAATCCATGAAGTGCATACGTGAAATTAGTTTTAAAACTACTGCATAAAATTATTCCATGGACTACCTGTACTGGGTTATTTTATGGAGTATTTGTAGTTTCGTATACAATTCGCCCAATCTTATGCACGTCCTATATGTACTAGAAACACCAACAAAACGAACGCTTCGTTGCCATTTCGCTCTGTAATTGCGATCTTAAGACACGAACAATCATCGGCGAACAACAAGCTGAGTTGATCCAACAGTAGACTACAAAGGAGTAGGTAGCAAATTACTCCATTGGATCAAATGGTACAAAAATGTTTGCAGCGTCGTGTCCAATTGAAGCTCTCTCTCTAATTTTTCGTTGGCATAACAAATCAGATTTGTCAACTTGTGACATCCTGCTATTAAAAAAAACTGGCTTAAAGAATTTATATTTAAATGCCTAATTATGGATTTTCTACAAGTAAAGCTAAATTTTTGGGTTTATATTCTAGATTTGGAAATACGGAATTCCATTATACTTTCATGTAAAGGGTTTTCCAATGAGGTGCCACTGTGAACAGCCGGATATTCCGGTAGATGTCACTTTTGAAGCTGTAATTTTTTGACATTTGCCAAGTAAAAACTACTTCAAAGTGGAACCATGGGCGCTTTAACAACGCGCTGAAATTTTTAAAACTCATTATAAAAATGGTGAAAACCTGGCAGAGACGGTTTATGAAACAAAATCATATTTGGTCGAACCTTGTCGGACCGCAATACAGATATTGGTGGAACAAATGTGAACAGCTACATCAGCCAAGTTGGTGATGTGAAGTGTAAAACACGTGCACGTCGCCCAAGAACAACTGCGGCTATTGCTGTAGCCCAAAGTGTTGAAGAAAATTCAGATTTGTCATATTACCGTATTCTGCATAAAGACTAGGGCTATTATAATTGGCGCTTTGTAATCGTTGAAGCGATTTTCGGCCGAGGTCATCCTTAAATTTTCGGTTTTGCATCTTGATGTTTTTCCAACAAATGAAGCGACTTACAGTTTATTCGAAGTCGCCTCCGAAAGGCTGATGGGGTTGGCATTCCCTGCTAAATTTTTATTTAAATTAATTTTCTGCAACTTTTGGATGTTAATACGAGACCAGGATTTGAACTCGAGCCTTCCGAATGGCGGTATGTAGTGCTAACCACTCGGACTTATAATGTTCAGTTAAATCAAGAACTCAAGCCGGACGATGATCATCGACAACATCATGTGTTTGCTGTCATTTTGACGGCGCTACATACCGTACAAGTAAAGAAACCATCGATAACACCTCTTATTGTAAGACCCTGTATTTGTATGTTCTTAGTTTTGCTCATTTTACTAAAATGGAAAGTAAAAAAGACAAATAGCAAAATAAATTTTCAATGCCCACGCGAATTGCGAAGAAGTTAAAGTATAGAATACCAAAATTATTTTGGCGAAGTTTTCTTTTAGTAAATAATTAAACAACAATTCATTTATGTATGTGCAAAAAAAATGGTGGTCAACGTGATTTACATTTAATCAACATAAATATATTTGCACGAGTATATACATATGTATTAGGTGTAGTAAGAAGCTCGTTCGGTTTTTATCTAAGAGATGGCGTTATTGTCCATAGTACTAGTATTACGTGTCGCCTCATGTCATACTATACGGCGCTGAAAACGTGTTTATTCCCATTAAAAGTTTATCTTTGACAGTTTTTCGATTGATTGATTCAGTATGTTGTGAGCGCTCGTCATAGATGGACACCAGCAAAAGGAAAATTCACTATATTTTACAATTTTCCATCGATCAAGGCGAAAAAGCAGCCAAAGCGGCTGAACAAATTTATTTAGTTTATGGACCCGATACTGTAAACGAACGTGTACCACAAAAGTGGTTTGCTAGGTTCCGTTCCGGTAATTTCGATGTGAAAGATGCACCACGCGTCGGGAGGCCTCTCGTCGAAAGTTGCAATAAAATCATGGAAATAGTGCAAACAGAACGTCACGTGAGCATTCATTTAATTGCTGAGTAGCTAAAGATAAGCCAGAAAACCGCTTGAAAGCTTTTTTATAACCTTGGATTTAAAAACAAGCTCGAAGTTTGGGTGCCACACGAACTAACGCAAAAAAACATTATGGACCGAATTTCCATCTGAGAATCGCTGCTAAATCGCAACAAAATCGACCCGTTTCTGAAGCGCATTGTGACTGGCGATAAAAGGAAGTTAATTACGACAACATCGAGCGCAAACGGTCGTGGTCAAAGCTCAGGGAAGCGGTTCAGATCGTGGCCAAGACCGGATTGACGGCTAGGACGGTTTTGCTATGTGTTTGGTGGTATTAACAAGGAATCATCTAATACGGGCTGCTCCGCTATGACCAAATGCTCAATTCGGTCCTCTACTGCCAGCAAATGAACCGCTTGAAGGCAGCACTTATCCAGAAGAGGCCATCTTTGATGAACAGAGGCCGAATTGTGTTCCATTAGAACAACGCCAGGCCACACACCTCTTTGGTTACCTGGCACCAAGTGATTACCATCTTTTCCTGTCCATGGTGAACGCGCTTAATGGTGAGAAGTAGGCCTAAAGAGAGGCCTGTGAAAATTGGCTCTCCGAGCTTTTAGCCAACAGGGGCGCGGCCTTCTACGAAAGACATATCCTTGGCAACAAGTTTACGAACGAAATGGCGCATATTTTAATTAAATCGGACTAGGGTACACAATGTTATCATATTTTGAAAAATTGAAAAAATTAAAAAAAATTTACTGGACCTAATATATGTAAGTATATATGCAGCACCTTCGTAAGGCCAATTAACCGTTATTAGAAATTCCTCCTGGCTAAACATAAATAGCCGTCGTCACAGCAGGTTTCGCGTCTTCGTTCATTAACAATGAATTAAATCCGGCGTCGACGTATTCATAGCCAAATTAACAGCGGCAACTGCCAGGCAAATCGGCCGTCAGCTCAATTTATTCACGATCTTTTCATTATCGACGTGACGGGTAATGCGTTTATAATTAATGGTGTTTTGAGTTCAAAACTGGCTGTTAATACGATTTTATTTATATATTAAAAAGCATTCCGTTTTATTTCTTTTTTCAGAAATTCCGCTTTCAACTGTTATTTTATGGTTTCAAATTTTTCGTTGAATTCTCTCGTCATCCAAGTCTCATTTGTTTTGCAGCTCTGACTATGTCTATTAAATACCAGGTCTATTAATTTATGTATTTGCTTAATTGTTTACCAAATTTATTGCGCATTTCTTTTATTTATTTTTTTTTTTTTGATATTCTAAACTTTCTTCGATCAGCGGTAAGCAATCGCCTAATCGCCTTGGTGGCGTCACGGTGGTGGCGCTATACCCACACACCCGCACACACACACACACACAGTAATAGAAAAAAAAAATGAAACTTTCAGCAGTATAATTTTTCTTATTATAAATAAATTATTTTTATTCTACATACAACTAAATATCACAACATAATAAATAAATAACCAACAAAAACAAAGCAAAAGCATTCCGAAATGCAAAATGCGCACTAAAATTTCTTTTGATTTGCCGGATTTACGCTATATAAATCATAATCGAACTGCTCCCATGCATAGGCGTCTGCGCCACGTGGCACAGAGGCACCCTTTTTCAACTTCAGCATCTTCTTTTTCTCCAATTTCGGATCGGCCACCTCGATGCGTTGTCGTATTTCACGCTCCTGCTTGGATAGGCCCTGCGGTGCACGCGGTGGTGTGTTCTTCGGCAGAAATTGCGTTTCGTCCATATTAAAGTCGGAATCTAACGCCATACGCGGTTCATGGAAACTTGCGAAATTCTGATATTGCATTGATTCCATGGGAAATTTGTCATCGGCCATGACCGTGTCAAAGTTATTGCTCTGCACCATCGGCATCTCATCAGTTGCTGAAGCGAGCAATGGATCAATAATTAATTTGCCATATTTGCCGTATTGTTGGTAGAGTGGACTGGCATTAGTAGTGAGTACTAAGAGCAGTGTTAGCGCAGCGTAGGTAAACTGTTAGATAAGAGAGAGGTTTTCATTAATAAAAGTACAGTTTTCTAATAGAAAAAATTTATTAACATATTAAAATAAAAATTGATTTTCCTTTCTGGTTTTCTAATTTTAACCCTTTAAAGCAGCGAAAGAGATCATTAAATTTTTTCAACTCTTCAGTATGCAATTCAAATTGAAAAAAAAAAACTATAGAAATTACCATTTTCTCCACAAAGTCTTGCATGTTAGCTTCACAATGTACTTTCAGTATTAATTTTATAGTGTCCTGTAAAGCTTATCCTTTTATATAATAAATTATCTGTCTTCTTATTTTTCACTCGGCACTTTTGTAGCACACAAAATTATCGACGTGTTGTTGATGCTGCCAGAACAATGTGACATCTGACGCCGGATTTGAGCGTCTTTTAACTTTTGAACCAAAATTGGTAATAACCCACACTGAGGTAAGCGCAGTAGCGGGAAATAAAACAAAAACAAACAAAACGTAAACACAAAAACCACCAAAAATTAAACAAAAAAAAAATTAAACAAAACAAACGCAGCCAACACCATATCGATCAACGAACAACGCAGAATCCAGAATCTTAAAGAAATAAGAAAAAGGCAGTTCAACGCAAAACCCACCGTTCCGGTTTTCGGTGAAATGCAGCAGTGAACGTGCCCGGGCATACGTAAAATCTTAAATGATTTTATTTTCTTTCTTATTATGATTTTTGTTTATTTGTTGTGTTCGATTATTGATTTTTTTTTATTTTTATTTTTAATTTTTTTTTTTTGGTCTTTGTTTTTTTTTTTTTTTTTTTGACCAAAGGAAATGCCCAGAATTTTTTATTAAATGAAAAACAAATTATACTTCAACTCGCAACACACACACAGCGTAATTCGGTTGGCACACAGACGTGCGTGCTGGTTGGCGGCTGTGCAGTGAACTCTACATGACCGAAACGCGTCGGTAAGTGACAATAACGCTCACAAGTAGTTCGAAACGCTAAGCGGCGTCGGCACTGGTAGGTGGGCGAAGTCGAAAAGGTAAATAAATTATACGTGCATATGTATACACATACATATGCATATATGTTTTTATTACTGAAATAATTGAAGCCGAATTAGGCAGCGACAAAAATGAAGTGAAATCAAAACTTAGCGTGACAAAAAACTGGTCTCAAGTTCAACTCAGTCTTAATATTATTGATTTAAATAATTTTAATAGCTCAAATGTTCATCGTAATGTTATACCACACTCAGCGGAGATAGCGAATATGTACAGAAAATTTAAAATGTTTTTCCTTATAAAAAGTTGTTTCAAAAAATTATCTCTCAGCAGCTAAGTCAAATGTGGTATATCCCCGAATTCGTTCGAAACCTTTTGAAATGAAAAACCATGCTTAATTAGAACCAATATTACGTACATTCAGGAATAAAACCAGCAATGGATTTTCAAATTTTCATGTCGTGCTGTAAGCTGTTTCTAAAGAAACGCCAAAAAAAAGGTTCAAATCACTTTTAAGTGAAATAAAAAGTTGAAAACTATATAATAATATTTCAAAATAAAGCATTCCATAAAACATTTTAGCACGTTAGCTCTCATTGAAACCGAGGGAAGTATGTTTAAAGGGTTAAAATATACCAGAAAAATGTCTTTTAAAAAATCTCTTTACTAAGAACATTAAAGTCTCTGGAAAATGGAAACAAAAATATTCTCCATAAATATGCCACTGTTTTGCGATCCACTTTGATTTGTGGTGGAAATTCGCAATGGTTTTCCTTTCGGTAGAGCTACAGTCGAACTACCATAACTCGAACTATTATTATCCTAAGAAAAACTTCAACTCACGAAGATTTTTTTATTATCAATTGCACAAAAGTACTCACTCTTTCGAACCCAAACCAAAGTCAACTAGTCACTCCTTATCCCTTTATTGTAAGGTGGAGAAGGGTGGACGATGCCATCAGGGAATGATTCGGCTTTGGGTGTATTCAAGAGAAAAGCTTTGCGAACGATTTATGATCCTTTGCGCATTCGCTATGGCGAATACAGCATGATGAGCTCTACGTGTTATACGCTGAAATTGACATAGTTCAGCTCATTAAGACACAGCCATGTTGTCCAAAGGAATGAAAGCGCTGCAATTTGGAATGTATCCTATGAAGTACCTAGAGAAAGGCGAAGAAAGCCGAGAAAGGGGAAGACCTTCATTCCCTTGGAAGGATCAGGTTTCACTTGGTACTTCCAGTTGGCGCCAAAAAACGGAGAGCAGAAATGAATGGCGCGCTATTGTTGATTCGGCTATAGTTGCGTAAGCGTTACTTACGAAAGTGCCGAAGAAGAAGCTACATTAGGACGTTATTTACAAAGTTGACCTTTTTTACAATACCCTCGTAAATTATGTGCCAGCCATAAGGCTGCTTTAGAGGATTCGAAAAAAAATTTTTCTTAAACTTTCTCTGAAACAATCCAAGAATATGTCTTTAAAATTTCAGTGGCCAATCTGATATATTTTAGTAGCTAAAGTAGTTTTAGTGGCCAAGCGTCGAGCAGGTTCGAATGCTTTGTAGAGCGCATTTTCTCGAATTTTCATTTTTACAAGCCTTAGAAGTAATTTTTTTTTTTTTCAAACTTCAAAAAAATTTTGAATTTTCCGACTTTTTCGGTATGTTTGTAATTCATAAAGAAGACACTCTCATAAAAATAAAATTGGCTTAGATGCATCGCACGACCTCCAACATCGGCATCGTTTCACGAGTTCAGACTGCAGCCGCTTCAGAAAACTCATCGCATTGTAAAATTTTCATTTTTTTTTATACCAAAAATTGCTTTTTGGAGCTAATCTGAAAATTCAATGCAACAAAAAAAATTGCTGAAAAAACACTTTTTTCGGATTTTAAAAACCTTAAAGGCAAGGCTTAATATATGTAAATATCAAGAGTTGTTTTTGGTATTATATTTTCTTTAAATCTTTAGGGGGAATGTGTCGTTCACAATCCCCATGCCGATGTTGTCAAACGTATTGATTTTTAAGCTAAGATATAACCTTTCCACAAGTAATGTAACGGTGTACTGTGTAGAGGGTATTACATTACTGTAGACTACATCAAAGTTCACTCTCCCTTTCATCACGATTTGAATATGAAATTGTTTTTTTTGTTACGCCAAACGGCTTTTCGTCATCAGAATATTAATTTTTAACAATTATCAATTTTGGCACACTTTTTTGTGAATTTCAATTTCTTTGCATTAGTCTTCCAATTATTTAAATACTTTATTAATTTTTATAAGTATATATGTACATACATAAAAGAGATATTTGAATATCTTTTAATGACATCTGTAGTAATGGAAATGTTTGCTAAAAAATATTTTTCTTAAATATCTAAATTTACTACGAGAAATCAATTTTATTTTATTTAATAAGAAATACCTTGTGGCATGTGGAATCTAACTTTAAGCCCCTCAATGCATATTTCATTCAAGACGTGTTTTTTTTTTTTTTTTTTTTTGTAATTCCCTTTGAATAAGTAAACTTCTTTGGTGTCATCGTACCAATTAAATTTATTGCACATCGGTATTTACATATTTCAACGGGCATTAATGCTTTTGGTTGGGAATAACCCGAGAGATATTTACAATGTTTTTTTATCTTGTAATATTTTCAAACTTTAACAACAAAAAAAGGTTATGAAGTTGGACTCCTTTTGTTGTTGTTGTCACAGCAGCACAGAAAAAAATCCCCAAATTTTAAAATTTTTCTTCGATCAAGGCGAGAAAGCAGCCAAAACGGCTGAAAAAATTAATTTAGTTCATGGGCCTGATACTGTAAACGAACGTGTATAACCAAAATGGTTTTCTAGGTTTCGTTCCGGTAATTTCGATGTCAAAGATGCACCACGCGTCGGGAGGCGTGAAGCGTATTGTGACTGGCGATGAAAAATAGGTCACTTACGACAACATCGAGCGCAAACTGTCGTGGTCAAAGCTCGGGGAAATGGCCCAGACGGTGGCCAAGGCCGGATTGACGGCCAGGAAGGTTTTGCTGTGTGTTTTGCGCGGTTGGCAAGGAATCATCTACTACGAGCTGCTCCCCTTTGGTCAAACGCTCAATTCGGCCCTCTACTGCCAACAAATGGACCACTTGAAGGCAGCACTCATCCATAAGAGGCCATCTTTGATGAACAGAGGCCGAATTGTGTTCCATCAGGACAACGCAAGGCCACACACGTCTTTATGGTATGAAAATCCGTCTGCTGAGGAAGCGATTTGATTTTAATCACGACATTTAACAGGCCGGATAAATTCTTTATACTCCAGCCTTGCCGAGACTCAAACTGCGTGATCACTACACTATAAGAAATATTCAATAATAAACGCTAAGCCATTGTCAATTCTAAAACCGTGCAACACCGCAGAAAATTTCTTCTGGAGATAACTAACCAGAACAGACGCTTACAGTTGATCACAGAAATAACTGCTACTAAATTTTGTTGTTTTTTTTTTAGCAGTATAATCACAAAACGACTCACCTAAAATAGTGGTAAGCCTAGGTTAGACGGTGCTGAAACATCTCTGAAAAGCGGTACACTTCTTGGTCGTCTTCATGATGAAACCACACGCTTCCTTTCGGAAGATGTTTTAAGAGTTGCATGTCTAGATGTCATCTCTTAAGATACGACTAAATAGCAGCAGCCCTCGAAATTTGGTAGTCGCTTTCTCTGGATGCATATTAACGATAATAGGAGCTTTATAATATTATCGCTGAAGCTGTTTTCGACCGAGCTCGTTAAATTTGGTATGTTTTTTAGGATCTGATGGGTTTATAAGAGGAACTTTATATTTCTTTACAAAAAAAAAATACTCTTGAAGAGGCTGATAATCTCCTTTGGATGGGAGACTGCAATTAGAAAAAATAATTTAAAGTTAATTTTCTATAATACCCTCTCTTTCTTTACAGCCATACGAGTAAGCACCGCTTACACGATTTTAGCTGGGTTAACAACAACAACGTACTCAATTCCTTTCTTCTCCTCAGTGCTTGGCGGCAATTGGAAATAGTTTGGTCCATCAAGGTCTTACACCACCTTATCTTTCCGGAGTGGGGTCTTCCACTGCAAAGTTTCAAAGCTGACCAAATGGCGTGGCCAGCCACTGTCTCGAAAGCTGTCGCTCGAAAACTCCGCACCTTGGTTCATCAGATATTGTAAGTGTCCAAACCTGCGCACCATATAGCTTTACCGTAATGGTTCGTGACTGGTAGAGTTTGGTCTTTACTCGTCAAGAAAGATTGACGATTTACAATCTCAAATTTATAACTATACACAGTGATGTGGAAGTCGAGTCGCGAA